TTTCACCCACCACCATCAACACCCCAAACTGATCAACCTATTTTTTTTTTGTATATAATTTTTAAAATAAATAAATAAATATGGTAAAGTTGAGCGTTATTCCCAATTTTGATTGCATTCTTCAAAGGGTTTTCTGTCATCATCATCACTTCATCACCACTACCACCGCCACCATCATCATCATCATCATCATAATCGTCACCGTTAACCTATTTTTTTAAACGGCCAAGGCCAAAAGTGAATTTAAATTTGAAACAGACGATTGACGAGGTTGAACGTTTAGTGCACCCCACAATTTGAATACCATCAACTAAGGAGGTACAATTCGAGAATTAATATTTGTAGTTTTCAAAAAAACAGATAAAATATTCTATAATAACCAGCTATGATAATATAATATCCGACTCAATTTTGAATAAAAATTCAACAAACCAGCAGTTGAACAAGCAACATAGACACATCGGAACACATATAGGCACATAGAGATACATAAGAACACATAGAGACACAGGAACACTTAGAAACACACAAGAACACATAAAGACAAATAGGAACACATAGAGACATATAAGAACACATAGAGACGCATAGAGACAAATAGGGACGCGTACATAACAAAACGAAAGATAAAATAAAGAGAGTGTAGAGTGTTTTTCTAATTGTCTTAAGAAGACTGACTCATCGGTATGCAGAGAGGCACCTTTCTTTTCAATTATGGCGCAATAATATCATTATCTGGCACATTCATTTGTCCGCACGTGCCAGCTGCCCACCCCGTGTCTGCCGCCTTCAACCTATGCATGCATGCACAATGCATGTATCCCGTCTACATGCAGACACATACATAAATACAAACAAACAAACACACACACACACACATACACACACACACACACACACACACACACACACACATACATACATACATACATACAAGTAAAGAATGCGGTTTGGACGAGGCCAGGGCAGCGGACGAGAAAATGAAAAAATATGGGAACGCCCTCCCCTCGATGGAATTCTTGCCAATATGTATCGAGGTTCGGCCCGATGGACCCCAACACCCTTAAATTTTTTAAGGCAATATGTAAAATGATCAGCGTCAGATCAGGCGACAGCAGTGAACTGTTTTTCGCAACTAACCACATTTCGTGCTTGTTGCAGAGGTTCCTGCGTGTCTGTGTGCTTGAAAATATCCAGCTAAATGCCGACATGTGCGATTAACGACAAATCAAAGTGTTAATCCATTTGTTACTTGATGTTTGACGTACGTACGTATGTATGTATGTATGTTAAAACCAAAACATGATGAGTGACACTGAACCGTCAAACATCAAGTAACAAATGGATTAACACATACATAACACACACACACACACACACACACACACACACGCACGCACGCCCGCACGCACACACACACACACACACACACACACACATACATACATACGAAACGAAACGAAATAATTTATTTGACCTCAATAAAGAAAATAAGGTGCAGGTTGACTGTGAGGAGCTAGTATAAAACTCATCGAGCACAGCCACCTAAGCCAAAAACTTCAGAATCTCTGAATGAAATATGTTAACCTTCAGATGTTACTAATTGATTACAAAAACAAAATCATCGGGCTCAGCCATCAAACAAAAAACTTCAGAATCTCTAAATGTTATATATTAAGTTCACGGTGTTACTAGTTGTTCGTAAAAATAAAATTATCGAGTACCACAAAAAACTTCAGATTCTCTAATTGGAGTATATTATATTTACGGTGTTACTAACTGTTCATAAAAATATTATCATCGTGCACCACAAAAAACTTCAGATTCTCTAAATGGAATGTATTAGCTTTGAGATGTTACTAATTGATCCTAATAATAAGTTAGGTCTATATTTCTCTATATACAAAACTGCATATAGAATACCTGATTGAATCTATCTATATAAGCTATAGATAGAAGAGAATAGGATCACATACATATATAAAAATATCTACGTACACGTCAGCACACACACATACATACAACTGAGCATACATGATGTCATAAATATTTTATAAAAATGTAATTTATATTCTTAAAACTAGTGAATCAAACTAATAAATGCTTTCAAATGATGGTTAAAGTTCTGCATGTTCGATCTGTCATAATTAAATCCTTTATTTAATAAAAAATTCCAAATTCTGGGTCCTCTGCAAATGATGTGTTGATGTAAAATTTTCGTTTTTGATTTGTTGGAACAGATGAAATTGATGCGCCTTTGATTCTTCGTTCGTTTATAATAACCGTCAAAAATAGGAGATAGTTTACCAGTCAATTGTTTGTCGATGAATTTTGTCGCGTGATATGTACTCATTTGATCGAAAGTCAGATTGCCTGTCGTGGCGAATAGCGGTTGTGAATGGGATTGAGCTTTGGAAAGTGTGATTGTTCGCATCGCTCTCTTCATGATTATTCTTATTGGATTTGTTGTAGATGGATAGGCGCTTGACCAGACTGTATTGCAGTATGAGATATATGGAGTACAGATGGCTTTATATAGCATGTTAAGAATTCTTTTAGGCAAGAAAAATTTTATTTTATTTAATAAACCAATTGATCTTGCTAGTTTTGTGCAAACATATCGAACATGTTGTTGAAACGATAATTTTTGATCCAATATTACTCCTAAAAATTTAACAGTTTTGCTTTCGAGAATATCCGAATTATTTATTACGATCTTATATGGCTCCTTGTAGTTTAAATATTGGACTGGGCCAAAAATAATCATTTGAGTTTTTCTGCTATTCAATGTCAACATATTACATTCAAACCATGAGACGACCTTTTTAATTTCACTATTAGTCTTCAAGATGAGTTCATCGATGTTTTTGCCTGTACTGAATAGATTAGTATCATCTGCGAAGCAAATGTAATCAAAGAATGTTGAAACTTTCGGGAGATCGTTGATGAAGACAATGAATAGCAATGGACCCAAAATACTGCCCTGAGGTACTCCAATTTGGTTTAATTTTACCCTGCCAGCTAACAAATTGACTTCTCTCCGATAAGTAACTTTTGAACCATTTCAGTTGCGAGTCACGTATTCCATAATGGTCTAGTTTCGCCAGCAAGATGTTGTGGTTGATGCAATCGAATGCCTTCGAGAGATCAAGGCACGTGCCTACGATGTATTTTTTGTCTTCTGCTGCGATCCCTATTTTTCTGATCAATTCTATTATTTCTCTCGAAAATTAAGGAATCGTTAATTATGGAATTTTTTTTGAAGAAGATATTTAGCCTTTTGTACATTATTTTTTCTATTATTTTCGAAAAATTTGATAAAAGAGCAACGGGTCGAAAATTAGTTTAATCATTGCATCCCTCATCCTTTTTAATCGGTACAATTTTTGAGACTTTGAAACATCGTGGGAATGTGCCGGAGTTGAAAGAAAGGTTAATTAGGAATTCCAAAATGTGAGCTGTTGAATGTATGGTAGATTTTATTATTTTCATAGGAATGCCATCCCATCCACTGGTTGTTTTTGGTTTGAGAAGTCTGGTTGTTGCAATTATTTCATCGCTTGAGGTCGACAGACAGAAGAACGAGTTTTGAAGTTTATTAGTGAGGTGATTTTTCCAGAGTGTTGAATTGTTGAAAGATAAACCTAGTTTTATAGCTATACCGGTGAAATAATCGTTTAAGGCGTCCGCAGGAGAACGAACAATTTCACTGTTTGAATTGACTGTATTGGTGATTTTATTTGTGCTGATAATGTTCTTAATAATCGACCACGTTCTTCTGTTATCTTTTATGTTCTTTTCTATGATGTCGCTGTAGTATTGTTTTTTTAGTTTGTTTTTAAATTTGATGCAAGATTGTCTAATTGACTTTAATTCAATTAGATTTTCAATATTCGGATTTTTTAGATATTTTGTATACAGTTTGGTTTTTCTATTTAACATTATTTTAAGATCATCAGTTATCCAAGGTTTATCATGTGATATTTTTTTAATTTTTCTTGCTGATGAAATACGACAGCATTCGTTGAAGTTCTTTACAAAAATCTCTATGAATCGTTGAAACCCGACATTTACATCCTCACAGTTTAAAACGTTTGACCAGTCCATGTTTATTAAATATTCGTTCAGTCTGTTGATTCGTTCACTTGTAAACGAGTATAATTTCTCCTTCAGAAAATGGTTCTTGATTCTGTTAGACTTCATATTTACAATTATAAAAATTGGTAGGTGGTCCGAAAGATCACATACCTGTGTACCACATAATTCTACTGCATTTGGTTCGCTCGTGAAAATGTTATCAATGACTGAATTTTTATTTAAACTTATTCTTGTTGGGGTTGTTATTAAAGTTGATAGGTTGTATGATGTTAATAATTGTTGAAGTTGGAATTTGCTGGCATTTGAATCAGCATCAAGTAAATTGATGTTCATGTCACCGATCAGATAAACTAATTTGTTCTCTAGACTTATGATTTGTAGTACCTGTTCGATTTGTTGAAGATACATATTTGCGTCATAGGTAGGAGGCCGATATGTTATTACAATTATTGCATTTTTATTGGAACAATCGTTTGTTATTTCTATGCTGAATAATTCTATGCTGCTAATGCTATTGATGTCGTTTCTTGTTTTATACGTAATACCGTTATCAATATACAAACCGATTCCACCACCGTGCTTACCAGACCAATTTTTACCAACAAAATCATAACCAGTAATATTTATTAACTTGATATTGTCATCATTCAACCACGTTTCACTTATACCAATAATGTTATATTTAAAAGAAAAGTTGTTTAAATAATCGAGTAAGTCTTCTGATTTGTGAACTAAACTTCTAATGTTTAAATGCATTAGCTTGAAAAACAAATTGTCGTTAATTCCGTTGTCGCTGATGGAGTTATACAAAGCATTTATTTGATTTATATCGTCATATAGTCTGCAGGTTTTTTCTACGAGATTGCTGCGAGTATCGTTAACAGTATTTAACGAATTTTTTGTCAGCCATGTTTGTTCGTTGTATCGGAGTTTTTGTCGGTGTTTTTCCCGAAACGCCATTCGCGTACAATGATGTGTTTTAACATAATTTCCGGGTCCTTCATCTTCGGTCCATCGCAACTTTCGACACATACACGAAACATCGTTGATTCTTCCTCATCCTTGTTTACTGGATCGCTTATTTCCTGATTAGAACGTTTTATCAACGGAAAACAAGAGATGACGTTTATACCACTTGTTTTAAGAAAATCTATGACATAATTTCTGTGACATCTTTTTACGTTGCTCATCAAGAAAACGGTCTTTTTTATAAGGTTCTTTTCGGCCTGAAGTTTGCAGTTGTCGATTACTTTGATGCCAATAATTTTTTTAATTGGTTTTGGAATGGATGCGTTAACATTGCCCGTGTTACCGGTTGTACCACTTGATTTCATTTCATTATTATCTTCAGATGAGTTGTTTAGTCTGGCTCTTTTTTTATTTCTGGAAATGTACTCTCTAAACCCATCATCCACTGGTGTTTTCTCGGCATCTGACCACAGGTTTCCAGGGTTGAAATTTTGATTATTTACGTCAATAATTAAATCGCTTGACTTTTCAAGTAACTTTGGCGCTATACTTTTTTCAACTTCATTACAGTGTGATGTTTTAGTGCCAGATATTAATAAATTCGATGAAACTTTGTCAGCGTAGCTACAATGATGCATTTTGCTACTTCGTCCTAAGGGATTCGAGTTTGAAAGCAGTTTGTTGTGGTGATTATAATATGTCGTTTTATCGTAGTTCAGCGCTATATTATTAACGGTGTTTTTTACCGCGCAAATTTCCTTGTTGTGCACCTCTAAGGTATTAAGCACGTGCTGCTGTTGGCTGTGCAATATGTCAGTAATTTCTCGTTTTAAACTTTCAAAATTTAATTTAATCAAACTTTCCATATCTGGAATTTTTTCCAGGTCACTACTGACAAAAATCGGACATTTGTCCATCAAATCTGATAATTTTAGATATTTTAAAATAGCAATGCAATCTTGTAACCTTTCTTTTTTAGTCGTTCCACGAGGTATGATTTTGTCGAGTTTTTCACTTTTATTGACTTCCATTTCATTTTTTAATATTTTTAAAGCTCCAACAATGTCGTCATTTGTATAAAATTCCGAAACATTATTAACAAAGTTTTCATCATCAAGTAAACCGAACTTATTTTTCAAAAAATACAGGACTTCATTAATTACAACCGTCCTGGTCGCCATATTAAATCCATACATACATACATACATACATACATACATACATACATACATACATACATACATACATACATACATACATACTTACACACATACACACACACACATACACACACACACACACACACACACACACACACACACATACATACATACAATAACGACAGCAGGAAACTGTTCTTCGCAACTGACCACCACATTTCGTGTTCGTTGCAGCGGTTCCTGCGTGTCTGTGTGTTTGAAAGTATCCAATTGAATGCCGACGTGTGCAATTAACGACAAACCAAAGTGTTAATCCACTTGTAACTTGATGTTTGACTGTTTAGTGTCATTCATCATGTTTTGGTTTTAACATATATACATACATACACAAACACACACACGCATACATACATGCATGCATACATGCGTGCGTACGTGCGTATGTGCGCACATACATACACAAATATTAATACTTGCATGCATGCGTATATTGTAAACATACGTACATCAATATTTATATGCGACTTCGTTTTAAAAAAGCGCATTCAAATGCACTAATGATAATGAAACGTACACACACACACACGCGCGCGCAACTTACATATACTACCATACATACATATATGCAATTATGCATGCACGCATACACGTGCGTGAACCGAATGCTTCATCACAGAAAAATGCGTGATGTGAATACCAATTTGGCACCTTTTTCTGTTTACAAAAAATTTATTAAATATTTTTACAATGTCATTTGTTTTTGTTTGAGGAGTTTAATCTGATAGAAAATAGTAGGAAGAATTTTCACATGATTGCGATGAGTTGACGAGAAGCAATTTAAAATTTAAACATGCAGGTCGGTTGGAAGGGCTTGTAGTGACAAACTCATCTGCAATTGTGTTTTCCTTTAAGCGTTCTTTATATCCGCACAGCATTCTTTCAAGTTTGCATGTTGATAATCTTGTAAAAGCGAGTCCAAAATTAACACAGTAGTCCAAATTACAAATTGGAGTGGAAGATATAATCTGATCGGGAATTATCGTCTGACATTTATAAAAAATTTTAAATTTTATAAACAATTTGATTTCCTGATGCAGTTTAAATATTTAAAAATTTAAAACGTTTACTGGTTGACTGTCTAGCTCAAACGGTAGAAGTGCCATGTCTTGCTTCGTGTTGTTGCGAAACGACCAGATTCGAATACCAACCGTCCGAAACACAAAGAATATCATAATGCAATGCTTACGCGCGCTGTTATCAAATATGTGGGTTCAACTTTTTCTGCAAAAAATTTAGGTTATAAAAATTGAGGATTGATATGCATGCAGCTCTGAGCATGTCTGAGCCTTTTAATGCAAAAGATACAAAGAAGTATTTAAAAATTGTATTATTAACGTCTGGAGATGCATGTGCATGGGCAGGGCACTCACTCGCAAACGCAATTTTGAAATTTTATGCAGAGACGCAGATGCATCTGCTGGCAAATAAAATTTCATTTGTTTTACTGTTATATTAAACAAAGATTATTTATTCACAGTCATCAAATTTACTTGTAACTATACAACTATCAAATACACACGATGAATAATCGCAGGAATTAATTATTTAACTAAAACTTAAACGTTAGAAAAATCCACCTACCTTCCCATTTTATAGCTCTGAATTTTAAATTCATATTTATGTTTGAAAATAAAAATTAATCTGACGACTGACTGATGAAATGTTTGCAGCTCCGTGTTCCGACCAGGAGTGGATCTGTGTTGCCGACCAGAGGTGCGTCGAGAGGAGGAAGGTGTGTGACGGCAGGATGGATTGCTCGGATGCCTCGGATGAGAGCTACGTGTTCGCTGGCTGCATCGGTAGGTTCAACACATTTTTTTTATGATTTGATAAAATAAATACATTTCTAAAATTCAATGAGTTAAACACATTTTTTTAAAATTCAATATAATAAAAATATTTTTCATTACTTAATAGGTTAAAGACATTTATTTTTACAATTCAATAAGTTGAAGCATTTTTACAATTCCTCAATTCTACGACTCCCCATTGACTGGACGAGTGAATGAACAACAAACCAGGATAACGGCCCCTTGCTTTTCTATTGTTAATTTTTCAGAGAGACTTTTAAAGTTTGCAGTTAATGCTAGTTTGGTAGTAGCTTTGACGGAGCGATGAAAGAAATCTGGACGATATTAAGAGTTGAGTCTGAGTGCTGACAAACTAACGAACGAATTTAAAAAAATTTTTTTCTAATTGAAACATCTCTGCTATGTCCCAAACATCTATCTTATCTGTCTGATTTTCTGATACAAACGAGCTGAATGGATGGCACGCATTGGCGTTAAAAGTGAATAATGATTCTTATTGGTTTATAGCTGAGGCACGATTTTAACGATGGCGGATGAACTGATTGATGTACATAATCCAGAGAGCACATGTGCTAATGTAAAGCTATCAATTTAATTTATTAATATGTTTATGGGTTTTTTCTGTTATGTATAAATTATATTAATTAATGAGTTATCTGCTAAATATTTTCTAATGAAGTTAATAATTTTCTTTTTATATGAATCAATTTATAATATTTTCAAAACCAGCATAATTGCTAGTCGGTGATAAATTAAATTTAGTTTTTAGACGAGTTTAATAAAAATGAAAATAATGTAATTAAATGTTTTTCTCGTTACAACAAGTATTGTTGTATTTTTTTTAAATAAAAGAGAAATTTAAGTTGTTTATAAGTGGACGGCACGCAATCTACTCACGAGTGCCGATGTCACACCTCCTTTTAATTTTTTATCTTCTCCTAACATGAAACTCCCTTCGCAAGTCTCACTCATTCTTAAGTGGTGTGAGCCTTTTATGAATTTAAAATTTCATCATAAACGAGAATGTTTAGAAATTTTAAGTTGAAGCACGGACGAAATTTGAAAAATTTGACTTTTTATAAATTTAACGATGGCGGGGCCAAAAAATTTGGTAGTCTGTTAGGCTTATCCTGCCAATTTTTGTGAAATTCATACTTGAAACCGTTGTTTTCCTGTCTAGAAAACTAGGTTTTAATGACTTCTAAACAGCACTGCTCACAACGGGTGTGTGGGGTCCTCGAGAATAATCTATTTATTCTTTTTATTACAACATAATTTTTAATCAATATATATATATAATAAAATTTTTATAAAAATGATTTAGGATGCTAGGAATATTATAAACAATTTTTACATTAAATGTAATAGAGATGTAATTGAAAGAGTTTTAGTAAATTTGAGTAGTTGTAGCAGTAGTAGCGACAGTAGTGTCAGTTGTGTATTATAGTATTAGTATCGATGAATCAACATTTTTTGCACGAATTCAAACAGAAATTTGCAACAAATCCAAAAGATGTTATCGCCTAAATTATTCCACCTTAGTTATACGAAACAAAATCATCAAAACCCTTTATAATTATCATTCATCAGTAGTTCATCACATTCATCAGATTAAAGGTCAATAAATAATTCAGGAAAATGACTAATTATACTTCGAAATTTTTTAAATCTTTAAAAAAGCCATTATGTACAGTAGGAAGGTAAGTTGAAATGTCTGTTCCTGTTGCAGCCGCATCTCTGATGACAGAGTTGAGGTTGTATATAAATCCAATTAAATTATATTAAAATTTAAATAAAATTAATTAAATATAAAACTACACAGCTTGGCAAAACTGACTGACCATTGAAACTATAATGACCAGGATATGACCAACATACTACACTTTTTTAATGTTTATTCATAAATAATCATTTTAAATAGATTTTTTTCTGTCCGTAAAAAAAACATGTAACTTGAAATTTGGCTTTTTTATAATGGACAAAATAGCACTACCACTGAATCATTGAAACTAATTTACATTAAGACATGACAGCGATAAACCATCCGTGTTCCCCTTCATTCATAAAACTTCACAATTATTGTATGAACAACAAATTTAACAACAAATCTGCTGACATCGTTGTTAACTTCAATGTCATCTCAACCAAAGTTGCTGTAATTTGAGTAGATTACAAGAATATTAAAGCTGATTTTCTGTCATTTCATCTTAATTTAATTATAAAGTTTAATCGTTGTAGTAAACTCGAATACAAGCAATCCAGCCATACGTCAAGATGTTGAAGAAAGACAAAAAAAAGGAAGATGAGTAAGAGTAAAAGAGAGAGAGAAAGAGAGAGAGAAAGAGAGAGAGAAAGAGTAGTAAGCGGAAGAGAGGAGGAAAGAGAATAGGTAGTAGGTAATCGTTGAATGGAGTGAGCAATGGTCCTTTTGCATGTTCGGCGCAGGATGTGATGAAAAATGTTCACTCATCAATCAAATTTCTGCGAAAAATACATCAATTTATAAAATTAAGTACTGATTGAGGTTACAGAGGATGGCCGTGGCGTCATTGCAAACGTTTTGTCGTCGCCACATTTCTTTCTATACATGTGTATGTATGTTTGTTTGTATGTGTGTTTGTTTGTTTGTTTGTATGTATGTATGTATGTATGTATGTATGTATGTATGTATGTTTGTATGTATGTATGTATGTATGTATGAATGTATATATGTATGTATGTATGTATGTATGTATGTATGTATGTATGTATGTATGTATGTATGTATGTATGTATGTATGTATGTATGTATGTTGTATGTATGTATGTATGTATTTGTACTATACATACATATATCATCATCAATCATAACTTTCTTTATTATTTTTGTTGTTATCACATTATCCGTAATGAACTAATGGAATGATTTTTAAATGGACCGAAGAATGTTGCTGATTGATACTTGTGTTGGTGGTCAGTCCCATACAAATGGTCAGTTGCATTTGGACTGGTCAGTTTCGTCTGATATCAACTGAAGATCTATAATTGAAAAGTTGTGGAAATTTAGGCTTAAATGTTAATATTAAAATTATAATAACAATGAATAACTACAGAAACAATTACCATGACAACAAAATAATATACTACGTACAAACAAAAACTTGAAAAATTTGAGAAAAAAAATTTGTTGTGAGCTGGTTGACAGATTTGAAGTTAGCAAATTAGTTGAAACGAGCAACGACAAAAGGCATTTAAAAAAGATTATTTCACGGAAAAATGAATATGCTGATATTTATGAAACTTGACTAATTTTTTTACGCAACACATGCCTTGCCTATTTTCTGACGTGCATACATGATAGATTTATTGGAAATAATGTACATATCTGTGTTGATGTAAGTTTTAATGTCGTGAATGTGATGTCATAAATGCATGTTGTGACGTCATGAATGCATGTTGTGATGTCATAAATGCATGTTGTGACGTCATAAATGCATGTTGTGACGTACAAAAACTGCAAAAGCTTTGTACAATAACTACATAACGACTGCTCATTAATTATCATAACCGTTATCATCACGGTCATCGTTACCATCGCCCTCATCATCATCATCCTCATCGTCATCACCATCATCACTTTTCTTATCATCATCTTTATCTACATCATCACACCTAACATCGTCATCCTCATCACATCCAACATCATCATCTTCATCACATCCAACATCATCATCATCTCATCCCACATCATCATCATTATCATCACATCCAACAACATTATCATCACATCCAACAACATCCTCATCATCACATCCAACTACATCATCACATCCAACAACATCATTATCATCACAACCATCATCATCACATTCAACAACATCATCATCACATCCAACATCATCATCATCACATCCAACAACATTATCAGCATCACATCCAACAACATTATTATCACATCCAACAACATCATTATCATCACACCCATCACCATCATCATCACCACACCCACCATCATTACATCCAACAACATCATCATTATCACATCCAACAACATCATTATCATCACAACCATCATCATCATCCCATTATCATTTCTTGCATCGTAATAGTTTTTGTTTTTTAGCAGCACGGTCATCATGGTCAGCGACTCAACAAGCACCGTTCTGAGACATGGGACATTTATTTACTGCTGTTGTATTGTTGCGTTTTTAAGCAATAATATAACAATTTTATTATTAATTATAATTATAATTATTATAATTATAATAATTTTTATTATATATTAATAATAATTATTATTATTATAATCCATATATTAATAATAATAATAATAATTATTATAATTATTATTATTATCATGAGATAGTAATATAAATATGAAATAGTAGTGTAATAATAAACTCGCTCTACCACAGCACACGTTCATGTTACAGTTTTCCTTCCAGTTCGGCAGCATCTGTTCTGCCGAACTGGAAGGAACCGATTTTTCCAATGTATTATACTTCCCGGTGTTGGTTGAGATAATCATTAACCTCATTACTGAAGATGCCGTCTTCTGTTTAAAAATGATTAGCTAAATTCTGCAACCAGCAATGAATGAAGTGTTTCTACCTACAGCAAGTTTCAAACAGACACTGACTATTTCATTTCTTTCAATGGTTGGCAAAAATTTGCAACAAAATCCGTTTGAATAGAAATTTTTAGCAAATTTTGATATAAAAGTACTAAAGTATGTAAGAAGTACTACAAGAGATTTATCGTGACTGATTGTCTTAATTAATTAACTGTTTGTAATTCAGTTTTTGGTTTTTTATTAAGAACTTTTTAAATAATACAATGAATCGCTTAAATTTATTTCCAACAATGTCGATTTTTAATCAAGATATTGCAAGATTTTTTAAAAATAAAATAAATGAAATTGATTTCAAAAAATGATCATGAAGAAATTAAGAAGAAATGTTGGCAATTGTCATCTCATGGACATGCTGACGTTTGACTGTGCACTGCAATGTACATATCGATTGCGTTCTACTTGGGACTCTAGCTTCTACCAAACTAACATATCCAGTTATCTCCAACAAAAATCTCTCCGGCACAAATTGCCTGTCATAAAATCTGCTCCGCTTCCTCGTTTTATGTCAATACATTCTGCATGTTAGAAGTACTAGACTCTTTCTCTTTCCTCTCTCTCTCTCTCTCTCTCTCTCTCTCTCTCTCTCTCTCTTTCTCTTTCTTTGTCTTTCTCTTCTGTATCATCTTTTCTCTCTTTCCGACCCAGTCCATTCCATAATATTTTTCCTTTATTTTCTCTTTTCATTAAGAAATTTCTAAATGTTTTTCTATACATTAATGGCGCTTTTGAAGAAAATGATATTAAAATTTTTTTGAATTATAATAAATACACCACTCACTCACTCTCACACACACACACACACACACACACACACACACACACACACACACACACACACAAACCCACTAACATATGTATGTATATTTATTGCTGCGCATTTGTGAAAATGTAATGTCATTCAAATTCACACATGTGCCTCCGCATATATTAGTGCATTAGTTTAATTTTATTTTTGTCCACGCAGGAAAAACTTATTTCTTCGTTTTTAATTCAGTAAAACTTTATCTTATTTATTTTTGAAAATTTGAAATTCTATATAGTTCTACGTAAATTCTACCTAATCCTACATAGCAATTGCATAACAAACAAACAATAGTTTGAACATAATAATCAAATAATAATAATAATATCTAAACATTGCAGGCCAACCGAATTTGACAGCTTGCAACTTCTCCAGAATAAAGTGAGATCTTTTGTCAATTTATTTGCTCAACTTAATAGAATTTTTTTTCGATCATCTGTTGTTCTTACAATATTTCCTAGAATGGTTAATATCAATTCGATTTTTAATGTCATCTCAACTACTTCGTTTATTATTCATCGACATCTATTTTTATTTCGCGATCATCTTTCGTTATGATATTTACAGTGGAGATAAAAGCAAGTCGACTGCAAGCATTGTCCCTCCCGAGCTTACAAGAAAATGATATTTTATTATTTTTTCATGTATATCGTGTTCGTGCTATGCTAGTCAGATACCAACCAATTCATGATGAAATCAATTAGGCCACGAAACTGCCGCATCTATGTCTATATGTGTGTATCTGTCTGTCTGTATGTATATATGTATGTATGTATGTGTGTATGTATGTATGTATGTATGTATGTATGTATGTATGTATGTATATATGTATGTATGTATGTGTGTATGTATGTATGTATGTATGTATGTATGTATGTATGTATGTATGTATGTATGTATGTATGTATGTATGTATGTATGTATGTATGTATGTATGTATGTATGTATGTATGTATGTATGTATGTATGTATGTATGTATGTATGTATGTATGTATGTATGTATGTATGTATGTATGTATGTATGTATGTATGTATGTATGTATGTATGTATGTATGTATGTATGTATGTATGTATGTATGTATGTATGTATGTATGTATGTATGTATGTATTTATTTATTTTTATTTTATTTTATTTTCATTATAGAGGACCAAATAAGTTTAAAATAAACTTGTGGAGAGGCCACCCTTAACTAAGTCATTAATAAACATAAAGGTTCAAAGGTTAGAAAATTAAAAAAAACTAAATTTCGGCGTTCAAATACATTCAAATACTATATCGAAATCCTATAAAAATGTTAACTCCAATTGAATATATTCAGATAATACTTCTTAACCAGACAAATAATCATAATAATAACGGACAGACAAAAACACACACGCACCACGCACTCGCACCACACACACGCACCACACACACGCACCACACACACGCACCACACACATGCATGCACAACACACCCACACTTCTATTCATATTTAAACAACAGCTATATATTAATGTATATAAATCGTTAGATGGTGGTGTCGGGGTGAAGTAAGTAAAGCTGAGATTGCAACCTTTTTTTGAAGAGTTGCTTGTTTGTTATGTTTTGAATGGCCTGAGGCACAAATAATTTCCAAATTTTAGGGCCAGTTGTTTTTAAACTTGTAGAGATGAGTTTAAGGCGAGTTTTTACTGAGTAAAAGATAGTGGTGTGTCTAGTTTTGAGAGTTTGAACAGATTCACTGAGTGTAAAAAAGTTAGAAAAAAAGGAGGGAAGTAAATTATTTAAGAATTTGAATACAAAAATAGCTGTAAAATAAATGTATAAACAATTAATCGACAAAATATTATGTTTACTAAAAAAAGAGCTAGTGGGAGAGAAAGGGTTCAAATTGAAGATTAAGCGTATAGCTCTTTTTTGTGACAATATCATACAATGAAGATGGGTTTTTGGTGAGTTACCCCAAATGGTTATGCAGTAAGTGAGATGAGGATAAATAAAAGCATAGTAGAGTTTTTTTAAGGCGGATTTGGTTAATTTGTGCCTGATTTTGTAGAAAAGACCTATGAGTTTGTTGATTTTAGAGGAGATAGATTGTAGATGAGATTCCCAAGAAAGATTTTCAGAAATGGTTATACCTAAAAATTTAGAAGAAGATGCACGACTTATTGAGATATTGTTGATATTAAGATTTAGGTTTGGAGACAAATTTGATAAGATTTTTGGGCCAAAGATGATATAAGAACACTTAGAGTAGTTTATTATGAGTTTATTAGCAGAGAACCAATCAGAATATTTAGAGAGCACTTGGTTAATTGAATCAGAACAGTTTGAGATGTTATCAGGAGTAAATAGGAGGTTGGTATCGTCAGCATAAAGCAAACATTTTATATCGGTAGATACATTTTGGATATCGTTAATATATATTAGAAAAAGTAGAGGGCCTAAGATTGAGCCTTGAGGAACGCCGTTTAGGATGAAGGCCGTAGTAGATTGGTGATTTTCAACGGAGACGTATTGTTTACGTGAAGAGAGATAACTCTTAATCCAATCGTTGGCTACGTTTCTGACACCATAAAGTTTTAGTTTGTTTAGTAAGATGTTATGATTGATTACATCAAATGCTTTGGAAAGGTCTAAAAATAATCCAACTGAAAGCTTTTTGTCATTCAACCTGGATAAAATGTGATGTATGAAATTAAGAGTAGCAAGCTCTGTGGAGTGGTTTGGCCTAAAACCGTATTGATTATTGCAAAAAATTTTGTTGGCCTCAAAAAAGGAGAACAACCTAGTATAAACTAATTTTTCAAGAAGTTTGGATAGTGGAGAGAGAAGAGAAATGGGTCTATAGTTATTGATGTCATCAGGTTTACCGTTTTTAAATATAGGAATAACTTTAGAGGTTTTAAAAGTATCAGGGAATACACCAGTGGACAAAGATAAATTGAAAATATGGATTAGGGGATTGTTAAATTGTGAATTGTATTTTTTATTAAAAACATATTTAATCCGTCAGCAGCAACCGATTTATTATTTTTCATCTTGGCAGTTAAAGTTATCAATTCAGAAGTTGAGATGGGGTAAAAATCAATAGAATCAGATAGAGAGCGGCTTATGAATGAAATCGGATTAGTTGAAACAGCAGGAAGAGTAGAAAGAAGTTTGTTGCAGATAGTAGTAAAGTGTTCGTTCAAGTGTTCACATATGTCCTGTTTGTCGTCAATGGGGATGTTGTTAATGGTGAGTTTAGATATAGGAAGAAAAGATGAATTGGAGTTCAGGGCTTGCTTTATCAGTTTCCATTGGTATTTGGGATCATTTTTAGAAATAGCAAAATTGATGACATAGAATTTGCGCTCAGTCTTTCTTTTTATTGAAGTGAAGAAGTTACGGAACTTTTTGTAAGCAGAGATGTTAGTATCGGTAGGAAATTTGATGCTTTTTATATATAATTTATATTTAGTTTTGGATAATTTGATGATATTTTTATTGATCCAACCTTTATGGCGTTTGTACTTGGAAGGTAGTTGTGGTGAGACAGCGTCTAGAATCCTGAAGAAAAGAAAGTAGAAATTTGTGCAACATTCGTTGATATAAAAGTGATTTGATTTGATTTGATGTATGTATGTATGTATGTATGTATGTATGTATGTATGTATGTATGTATGTATGTATGTATGTATGTATGTATGTATACTGATATACTGATTAAAAAATTAAATTCACATGGAATAAGAGGAAAAGTAAGTGCATGGTTCAAAAGTTATTTAGAGAACAGAGACCAGTATGTGGCAATAAAAAGTCACTCCTCAACAAAACTTAACGTAAGATCAGGCGTGCCACAAGGATCAATTTTAGGTCCTCTTCTATTCATAATCTTCATGAACGATTTTCAACATGCAACTGATGCAAATCACCTTCTATATGCAGATGGAACTAACATCTTCTTCCCAACTAAAGGACCATTGAAAAGAAGTAGAAACATCCAATAAAAGTCTTAAAATATATTCACCCTGGTTATCAAAAAATAAATTAATAGTAAATTATTCTAAATGTAATTACATTATTTTTGGTCCGAAAATTTTAACAAATATTATACCTAACCTAGACATAAAAATGAACAATATTTCTATTCCTCGCTCAACCAGCACAAAATTCCTTGGAGTAACAATCAAGGACAATCTGTCTTGGGATATTCACATAGATACTATGTCTAAAAGAATATGCAAAACCCTAGGAGTTATAAGCAAAATTAAAAATAAATTAAATAAACCTACTCTAATTGACCTGTATTATTCATTAATCTTTCCTCACCTCATCTACTGCAACGTAATTTGGGGAAACAGTCCTGACATTCATCTAAAACAGTTAACAAAATGCCAAAACCGATTCATCAGAATATTTAAAAATCTTCATCCTCATTGTCACACAAGTGAATATTATCTCGAGATGAAAATACTCAACATCAAAAACTTGTTCATCTACCACGTTGCAACATTCATTTTTAGATTTCTACGTCAGCAGTTGCCGGCATTTTTTAGAAACTTTTTCACTTTTGGAACTTCCATTCAAGCAAGAACTACACGCCACACGCCACTTTTCTATTCTCTACCAGCCAGAATTAAAGTACTCTGCATGAGTTTGAAACACACCGGCCCGGGAATATGGGAGACGATTCCACAAGAAATTAAAGATTGTAACACTTTGCATCTTTTTAAAAATAAACTGAAAAATTTTTTAATTACGAAAAGTTCTGTTTTTCAAGGATAATAATGTATATGTATATATATGTATATAAGTGTGTACATATTTCATTGACATTGATACATTTTCTCCTATTGACAATTTTATTTTATCATTGAGAAGCAATTTTGAGCTGCACGGTGGCCGAGCCCACAAGAATTAATTTTCTTTTTTTTGGTCTCCGAATCATTCATGCTTTTGTTTTGTTTGATTGAATAAAAGTGATTTGATTTGATTTGATGTATGTATGTATGTATGTATGTATGTATGTATGTATGTATGTATGTATGTATGTATGTATGTATGTATGTATGTATATTAAAACCAAAACATGATGAGTGACACTGAACCGTCAAACATCAAGTAACAAATGGATTAACACTCTGATTTGTATGTATGTATGTATGTATGTATGTATGTATTTTTTGTTTCAAAACACAGACCAGAAGCATGGGCTTGTATGGTCAAAAAATCACAAATATAAAACAATTCGTAAAGATAGTCAAATAAATACACGAAACAAAAATAAACTTAAAATGAGCAAAAAAACTACGCGAAATAATTAGCCAGCAACAATTCAACAACCCTTTTATTGAACACTCCAAACTGATACCTGACATCGAATCAAATGGTGGCCATTCCCACAACTTTACACTAAAATTAAATGCGGCATTACAGTATACCGGTGTACGCATGTACCTTTAAGTGCATTATTGTCTGCTTGCTTGTCTGCTTCCGTCTGCATGCATGATTTCTTCTATATTGCAGGAACTTGCCAGCCTGGTTGCCTTCGTAGGTCAACTGAGCGTTGCATTGCTTTCGGCACAAAATGCTTTTCAAAGACCGTTCATTTCATCTGTTGGGTCTTGTTGTGTTGTTTTTTGCCACGACGTCACATTATGAAGAATCACTCATTCAAAAGTAAAAGAGCCAAACTTCACTTGGCCAGGGAGATTCCGAGATGCACCCGCCCTAGACCATAAAGGAAAAATGTTAAAGATTTGTGTAAAATATTATTTACCAACTTTTATAAATAAAAACGGGTGTTAGCGAAAAAATTTTTATTAACTATGGAATTTTCAAATCATTCCTCTTACTTCAAAATTTAGGATCCGCTATTGACCATGGTTATAAAATTATAAATAATTGAAGAAAAATTATACTATATAACTGAATATTGAGGAATAAGAATGTTAATCAAATTTCATTTGTCGACATATTTTCTGTGATAATTTATAAACTACTTTTTTTAATGTTTATAAATTTTTTGTTTTTTTATTTTTGAAAAAATTCTGCGTATGCAACAATTTTTTCTTGTTTTACGAACCTGCTTGCCTTTCTATAACTAACTGTGTATTTTTCTTCGATGTTATTCAGTATTTTAGGAAATGCTTCATTCTACTGAAAAGTTTAATTCTGCCTTTTTGTGTTAGAATTTCTTTGTTTATAAATGTTTATGGAGT